CAGGCAGTAGTGCACACGTATAGATGTCCACATCACTCACCTATTTTGCATCCCACTGCTCTGAGCTTGCTTCTGTATGTGCTGCAAGTTGCCCCAGGCCAGGGAGGGAAGCACAGCAAAGGATCTAGGCCTCTTGCTTATAATAGTTCTGAGAAGAACTGCTGGTTGACAAAAGATTTTACTTGCAGGAGATATGCATTAGGCTTGATCTGAACTCTGTTAGGAAACAGGAGGTACTCATTTTAGGACAGGCCAGTAAGGTTGTGACTGAAAAGCCATGGGGTGCATACCTCCAACAGCTGTGCTCTCTGAAGCACAGGTATAGTTGTATGTTAACGCTTAAGATCTTTCCATTACAAATAAAAAAAATGCTCACAAATTAAGTCAGATATCCAAATATGCATGCATACTTGCTATAGGTGTAGGAGTTCCCTAAAAAAAAAAGAAAACAGAAAAAAAGAAAATCATACAATACTATCATTTGAATTAGTTTGAGGAAACTGGTACATTTCTCTTCTTTATAGATTTTTGCAAGAATAAAGCTAAGCCTACTCATCTTCCTGAAAGAAGGTAAATATAAGACACTTTAACAATTAAAGTTAAGTGGTCTTAGATAAAAGAGGAAAAGCTGGGCTCTGTTTCAAAGTGCAATGTTGACAAGAAGGAGTTGCAGACAAGCTGATTCTTGAAGAGGGATACACAAATACGTCATGTCAAGTACCCTGGTATTCAGTCTTCATGAGGAGTATGAGGAATGAGGGGTTTGAGCCAAGGTACAAGCTACAGGAGATGTGGATTTTGAATAAAATACCATCTCCTGAACCTTTGATTGCTATTGAAGTCAGGAAAAAAAAGAAGGAGTATTGTACATGGGACCCACAATGTGATATTACTTCAAAGGTAATTGAGTTCATTATGAGTCTTGCTTCCTAACTAGAATAATCTTGAAGACCTCAACTTCCAGTTTGGGTCATTACATTACATTTAGCCTGCCTTGCAAAACCAGGCTAATTTCCATAATTGTCATTAGATCAGAGAAGGTGAAAAGTCCTCTGCCACTATGATCGATGAACGGAGCTTTCTTTAGCTTGAAGGGCAGATGACTTTCCTTGGGACAACCATGCCAGGATGAGGGTAGGGGAAAAGGTGAAAAAGAGGAAGGAACAGTTTGGAAAAAGACTTTACAAAGCATTTTTGTGCCAAAACTTCTGGATTCCCTAAATTTGAACCTAGTCTTGAGGTGAGGTTGAGTCTGACTGCTTAAAAAAAATGTCAGTCCTGAAGCTGCAGAAACATCTCACTGTTGCTTTAGAAATGAAACATTTCCACTTTCTCTCCCTTTCAAGCTTGCTTTCCTGCAAGTCATAGGCTGTGCACAGCACCACATGGCTGCTCTGTACCCCTCACACCTTTCTCCTCCAGGCACGACCATCTTCCATGCACCATCCTGCCCCTGAGCAGAGACCTGGGGGCTCTAACACTGGAGTGTGCATCAACCTACAGGTGCGGGACCATCAAAGAAGTTTCTCTCCATGTTCCACCTTTCCTCTCTCATCAGTGCTTCCTCAACAGGTTATTAGCAGCAGTTGCTGGTAAGTGGTGCCTAGGGCACCTCCATTCATTGGCACTGCTCATGGCAACAACACAACAAAAAACACAACAAAAAACACCAAATATGAGCAGAGCCTCAAAATTTCAGCCAAGGAATGTATTGTGCCCCTTTCTTTTTAATTAACTTTGAAACTCCAGGCCTCTTTTGGGATATACAGTAAGTCTCTATATACTCTCAACTTAGGGGACCAAAAAGAAAAAGGACATTTGGATAGAGCAGCACAGTTCGTGGCACTTGGCAATTAGCAAGTTTCAGTTGTCTTCAGAAAGTTGCATGCCCTTGCTCAGATGCAGCCGGGGACTAAAGGGGACAGGAAGGTTTTACATTTCACCACTGAAACTCCCAGAGGCTTTGCCAAGTACTTAGTAAGTTATTTAGAAGGAAAACAAGAACCCCACCTGGGCGCCTCTTTTGTTTAAGTCCTGCCCAGTATCGGGCACCTGAGCTGGCAGCTGCATTTCTCTTTAATGGCATGAGGGAGAAGGGACATTGATGCTGCCATCCCTGCTGGCATATCCTGTTTCAGCAAACTCACATCTTGTAACCAGCCTGAGCTAGTCAACGCTGTGTTTTTCAAGGGAAAGGAAAACATTTGAACTCTGGCTTCAAAAACCCACTGGAAAGCAGCAATTGCCTAGAACCGTTGAGGCTGCCTCCCATCACAGCAAGATTTCCCAGGGGAAAGCATCGAGGAGATTGCAAGTGAGGAGTTTGCTCATGACCTGCAGTTTCAGAGCCAAGGTTTCTGAAACGTGTGCCACCCACCCTGCTCGAAACCCATCCACAGCCTGACACCTCCTTGGCTGGGACCACGTCTCGGTCCCCATCTCTACACTCAAGCAGCATGTACTGCTCACTCAAGGGCTACAAGGATGCCAGACTCAGACCCTAGAGAAGGAGACCTTGGCCCCTTTTTACATGTTGGCCCTGGGGTGCACAGGGTCTTGCAGGGCTGAGGAAAAGCCAAGCCAAGACTCCAGTTTGAGTGCGGATACCCAGGGGACTGGGGAAGGTTTGTGGAGTGTGTCACATACCCCGTCACCACCTCATCACATGAGGCAAGACAGGACCACCTCATGACTCAGGCTATTCCCGCTTTCTGTGTCAACTGCACATCTTCAGCTTGCCACTCTAATCTCTTCCCACCATACCTAGGGACAGTTATAGAGATGAAAGGGAGGCTGGAAAATCTTAGCGTATCAAAGCGAATCTGCTGTTCCCACTTTTTGTGCAGTTCTATTGTGTTCTCCTGTGCTTGCTCTCTATTTTTAAAATCTAAGCTAGGAAAAATAAACTACTCTCAGCATGAGAGTAAAAAAAGAGATTTCTTTCATACTGGCATCTTAACTTTATCTGATAATGAGAGTCAAGAAATTTCTTGAGTTTCAGCTGTAGCAAGTAGTGAAACACTGAAATCTTTCTTCCTCGATTAAAAGTTTATATGGATTATAGGGATCATGGACACTACCAGTGATGCAATATCCCAGTTTGGAGAACATTGCTGGAAATTCCCAGGTAATTCTTGAGCTCACCTGCCTCCTTGCTCTCTCCCCAGGTGCCACCTCACTTAACAATTTTTAGGCAACTAGAGATGCAGGAGAACATAACTTCCTGAATCTTAAAGCTGCTTTGAACCTCATCAGGTCTTGGGAAGAATGAATACCTTTCTGAGATTTTGTGTTCTTGTCTTGCAAGATTTCAAATCCTTAAGGATCAGAGCTGCAAGATTTTCTTCACAGCCAGGAGCGGATTTTTGTTTTTCTCTTTAACTTCTTTTTCAGAGGGTTGCTGAGATTTTCATACCATCATATGATTTCAGGAGCCAGGCCTGGCAGAAGATCTGCAAATATTGACAAGAGCCATGGTAAAAACGCACAGGCGAGCGGCTCTGTTAGCTCTCTGTCCCGGACACTGCAGGCTGGGCCTCTAAGAGCAGCTCTGTGCTGCTCTCCCTCCGGGAGCCAGGCTGGCGCTGGAGGCTCTGCCTTTTTTTGCCCCACTCCTGCACTGCTTGGCCAATTCCTGAAATGCTCTGTGGTTAACACTTTCCCCTGCTCTGAATGTTCCCTGTATGAAGCAGGGCCACTGATCACAGCCATCCTCAAAAATAGCCCTGGCGAGCGGGGATGGGAAGAGGCTGCTGCACGAGGCTGCTGAAGACTCCTTGGGGAACCCTTCGAGGGCAGCCCGGTTGCCAGCTGAGGAGCTGTAGCTCCCTCAGTGTTTCCAGCTCCAGCTTTGGTCAATGTGAGTCTTTCTATCAGCTTCAACGGGCTTTTGATCAGCCTGTTAGATTCCTGGTCAAATGCCTAACATCTGTGTCTCTCCATACAAGTGCATCTACACATAAGGCTGTGGCTGCACACAGATTGCTTTAGGAGTCCACACCGGTTTTAATTGCATAAACGCCATGTCTTCTCCAACAGGATTTCAGGAAACATATTGAAGCTAGAAAGGAGCAAACTGTAAGAGGTTTGGTCACAAAGCTGTCTAACATCTCCAAGAGCCAACACTTGTATTTTGCAGTGAGTATCTACCCAGCAGAATGCAACCCTGACACTCTCCAGCCACGTCTAGGACAAGTTTGTTTTTGCAGACAGAAGGCCACAGTCAGTCCCATGCAGAAGCAGGCTGGTTTTTAGCAGAGAAGTGAAAGCTGCGTAACTGATATTTACTATGACAATAGTGGATATCTACGTTATAGAAAGAATAATCTAGATCCTTTGCTGATATGAAAAACATCTAGAAATTATGGTGTTCATTTGGAAATAAGTGTCCAGCTTCTGATGGATGATGAATAGCCCTTCTTCAGCAACAAGATCCCTTCTCAGTTTCAGAGGCAAGACATCAAAAAACACAAAAGCATCCCCAAAATTATCAATTGCTCAGCTGCAGGCTGCCATAAACATATTCTTTTTCCTTAGGTGAAGCTGTGACAAAAAAAAAGTTTTGTTCTATTTCCAAATACTATACATATTATTTTTGCTGATACTTATGGACACACTGCTCCCACTCTCTGTGCAGCGTTCAGTAATGGGTTATAAACTTAACCTTGAGCCTATGACAACTGCATGCCTGCTGACATCAGAAGTCAGTTGCACAAGGCTTGTATATAAACCTACTATTTGGGTATTAAAGAAGCTTTCAAAAATAGTTTAAGTAAATTAGTTCCTGACATGCTGCACATCTTGAGCTTGCCATTTGTGGCCTTTCATTCGTAAGTGATCATCCACAGAGTGAAAAGAAGCACACTTGACTCTAATTAGGGAGGAGCTAATTATCCTCCATCAATTAGATCCTACAACACTTATCTGTAAACAGTTGCTGGGAAGGTACATAACAGATTAGAGGCTGAAGACCTAATTAATAAGGAATAATGAGCTCCTTCCTGCCTGAGATGAAGGAAATGTGCTCTCACTCTTTGAAAAAAATCTAGTGTCATAAACCTGACCATAAATGTGGCAGGAGTCATTTCATACATACTAGTTTCGTAATTTTTATATTTAATTTGCAGTATTTGCTTTACTGACTTACTTGAGCTGTATTATCCTGTCACTCTCCATTCTGCTGACTTGGTTGTGCCTTGCTGGCAAGTAGAGAGAGAAACGCAAAACCTCTTCTGATGGGAGAAGAACTTTTGAATGCTTTATGGTGAGTAGCAACCACAGAAAAAAAAAATGCAGATATCACAAAGGACTGTCTCTTCGAGGTCTACTTTGCTGCTAATTCAGTGGATTTCCCCCCATGCTGTCTTCAGGGCATAGAGACGTCAGCTGACCTACACTGCATTTCTAAAAATTTTCATGCGCAGTTAAGATCTATTAGTGACATGTTTCCTCCTCAAGACTTCTTCCTCTGGGTGGATGTTTCTTGCCTTCTAAGCCTTGTCTCACCCTGTTCTCATTGTCATCTTTTGTCCTTGTCTTTCTTAAAACACGCAACAGAGAGGAGCACTTCTCTCCCATGTCTTACCAGACTGAGAAGTGCCCCTTTTAGGAGAGAAACGATGTTTCTGATTTCGCCTGAGGCCAGAGCAATGAAAGCTTCACATTGCCTGAGGTCGTATCATTCGTTCAAGGTCATTCCAGTTTATTGTGTTATCGGTTCAATTATCCATGGAATTAATAAAATAATTTGAGATTTGGATGGAAATAAAACATTCAAAGTATCCCAATTAGGGTCTTCCAGAAATAGAGGTCACTCCTTTCTGAACATTTCTACTTTCAGACCCAACCAGTGGTGATTTCACCTGGAACACAATTGCTAGCTACTCATAGGGCAGTTCCCAGATTATCACTCAAGCCATTTATATGCATTCACTGCTTTCCTCTTGACCATTTGAATGACCATCCCATCAGATAAGGGAAATTAACTGCTTCAATAAGATTTGGTTTTGAGAAGCCCACCTTGGCTGTATTATTGTTTGTGGGGGTTTATTTTGTTTCTTTGGGGTTTTTTTACTATTTTAAAATTCTCTTGGTACATACAAGAAGGACTGCTAAATAATTTGTTTAGCATCTTTCCAGACATTGATATTAGGCAAAGTGGTTAAACATTTCCACGGTCTTCTTTCCCCAGTCCTTTATAGATAGGAATCAAGCTGATTTATTATCAGACTTCTGAAACTACTGAAGAGAACTTCTGCTTCTTACTGTGTATCTTCTGTAACTTTTATTTGATCTTGACCAAATACTTCTTTTTAATAGATAAAGCAGGAAAGTGTTGAATTTTTCAGCCCTCATGCAGCACTTGCTATTTGTACTTTTCATTTGGTTATATATGTATGTGTATTTTCTTGCTTGTATTTATAGAAAAGTTATATCCTAGGTCTCTTCTAATTGGTTTCGCATGTTATTTTTTTCTCATGGTATCCCAGCATAGTTTTACTGTATTGTTGTAGTCACTGTCAGTAACACGTATCACATAATTCCCTTTGATTTCTAGGTCTTGGCTCCTGATGCAGCTACATTCGGCTCTCCTGCTCAGTTTCCTATCTTATTTCACATCAGGATAGTTTACCACTCTGCTTTTGTTAACGGCAGTTTCAATAACAGACAGTTCATTTATCTTCAGGATTATCTTCCCAGAAGACTCACATTTACCTGCTTCCCAAGCTTGTTGACGTTTGCTTTTTGAAGTTCATTACCCTTTTTCTGCTGCCTTCACTGCTTTCTTTTCTCAGAACAGCAATTCTATTGTTCCATGGTTGCTTTCATTCAAAACACCTTCTACATTCATTTTGTCTCCATCCATTCCTCTCTTGCAGAGACAAATCTAGAAACAGATATGGCTTTAGAATTATTAAAATTATTACTCCTATGCTTGGAGAAACAGGGAGGATGAGCAGACATGCAAAAGCTCAAAAGGATACTCCTGTTTTGGGGTTCAGGCACAGAGGTGATTCTTTGGGTCAGCTGCTGCCCTCCATCAAGCAGAAGTACTTGTCAGTTGGTGGTAAAGAGAAACCCAAATCCTAGATTTCTTTAACAATTCTTAACTTTATCTGTTATTCAGTTAAAACTACCTGGAAATATATATTTTACATATCAATACATTTTATAATGTATTTGTATGATAATCATACAAATTTTGTCATCATCCACATCAAATAAAATTCTATCCTCTTCAAATAAAAAAAAATCATTAAATGTTCAGAAAGTAAATTATTCTTGAAGATTCATTGGCTGAGCCTGCACAAGAGGACAATGGAGCAACTTTTCAGAAGTTCATCTTTCATAAAGACAGCAAAACTTTCAGAATTTTAAACCCAGGAAAATATCCTGTTAGTAACTAGCCCTCTCCTGCTAGTTCAAGAAATTCAGCAAATGATCACAAGAGCACAGATGAACACACAGTTTGCCTGGGACGAGACTATTTAGAGCTTTACACAGCGCTAATTGTGTTTGGTACGGGGTGCCAGAATGCAAAGACACTTTCTGGCCAGGAGGAGGGAGGAAATGGAAAGACTTCAGCGCAGCTGCTAGGCAAAACAGGTTCCAGTGAGAAATTCCAGTGCATTATTCCAGTGTATGCAGTCATTATACACACAAGTATAGTTTCTGAGCTCTGTGCAACTCCATGCATGCACCTACTGCTCCAGTGTGAATCCCCAAAGGGTCAGAATGGAGGGATTGATAATGATTTAATACATGCAAAAGACAGGTATATGAAAGCTTCCGAGCATTTTTTGGAGGAAGGAATGTGTGAGAGAGCACTGTTCATTTTCTGGAGACTCTGAAAGGGTCAATTTTAGAAAGAAACAGAGGAAATGGAGAGAAAAAAAATCTACTTCTGAACATGGGGATCTCTTCCTCTTGCTGAGTATAAGTAAGGCATGAGCTGGACTATCATCCCCAGTTTTGCACATCACACCTCGGGGAAGATGAAGACTAATAGGAAAGCATTTATCAGAAAACTACAGGAACTATCAGAGGTCTAGAAGGTACTGCTTGTGAGGGGAAAAAAAAAAAGCAGATTAAACCATGACAGGTTTTTAGAGGAGAGAAGATTGAAAGCAGTGAAAACAGTTTTCAAAAACTAGATTTTATCAATGACAAAATCAGTTTTTCATGTCCAGGGAAAAAGAATAATGATACTGCAGTGCCATGTCAGTGAGAAAAATTCGGGTTAAACAGTTGGGATGGACTTAGTCTGATAAAAACACAGGTGTCTACATTGTAGGTATTTTCATCTGAACAAGTCAATATCAGTACAGTCAGTGAAGATTTGGGTGAAGATTCATTTTATGCTTCATAGATGACTACAGATGAATTTCACAGTCAGCTCCACTGAACGCAGAAACTAGGTCTCCACTGGATGCTATGGGAAGCTGCACAACTCATTCAGAGGAGCAAGTGAGCTGTTGGCCGAGATGAACCCCACCATAAGAAGAACATCCCAATGAGGGCAGCTGGCACAGGATCAGGAAAACCTGGCCTAGGCAAAGCGGTGGGATCTTCACTCCCTGTAAAAGTGATTATGCAAGCCTCTGGAGGTGCTTTTGAGAAGCTGACCCTTTTTCGGGGCAAGCAGAGAACAGGAGGTGACCTGGAGAGGTCTGTTCCAGGCCTTGCCATCTGCATTGCAACCAAATATACAGGGATGGTCATTTAAGATGGAAGATTCATTTTCTCTGCCCAGTGCTCTGCAGCTACTCTGCTCCTTTGAAAAGCTGTTCACATTCATTCATTGTCAGTGACTACCACAGTGGAATTGCTTTTCTACAGACTCAGAGACCCATACAAAATATGGACAGCTTTGCCAAGAATATAATGACCTGTATTTGTCACTTTCAGTGCACCAAGCTTCCCAAACTTCATTTCAAGCAAGCAGCCACTTGTCGTGCCAGCAGCAGTAGCAACATGTCTGTTCGAGTTGAAATAAAACTTCTGACTTGTCTCACTTGCATTTACAGAGCCAGGATACATAGCTCACAAATGCTGGTCAGAGCATAGGGCTGGCAGGCAGCAGCACTGCCAAAGAGTGATGAGAGATATCTGCATTAACTTACAGACTTCTCAAGCTGTATTTTATGAATACAGCCTCAGTCTGCAGCATCTGAGACAAGCTGTGCATCTCTGGTACATGCAGAAGAGAAATGCTGCTGAGCAGAAAAAGTCTTTGTGGCTGGTCTCCTAAGGGAGCAAATATATGTGAAGGAAAAGGAGACAGTGTTATGGCTCTGTTTAAGCACACATGATGCAAATATGAGAGATGACAGAAGGCAAGGCGACATATTGCACCACTACAGCAGAAAAAGCAGCAGATCAGTGCATAAGTCACGACATTTGTTCATGTCAGCCCTAGCACACACCAAAAAGTGATGGAGAGAAAATGGCAGAAAGGATTCCCAAAAGCAAGAAAAAACAGGTTTGGGCCTGTGGAGGAACCTTCATTCTAGGTAGCAGAGACCAGCACTGCAGCAAGGCTCTCAGAACTCCTTGTGACTCTCATATAGCTGTGAATCAGCAAAGGTATTATGGAGCTCAAAATACTTTCCACACCAAAAGAATATCCATGTGAGTCAATTTGAGAATGGCTTTTGAGGCATCTCAATAATGAGTAACATAAAGTGATTATAAATATCTACTTAATATAAATATAAGCAGTATTTAGCTATGATAGCAGACAAGTTTTAGGGCATAATGTGGAGAATCTAGTAACCACCACCAAAGAAAGTTAGGATTACAGCTTTAAGAATTTGTCTCCCTTTCCTTGCCATAAGTACTGCTGGATGAGAGACAAACCTGGTTGTTAACCTTATACCTCAAGGATACTGCAGAGAAGGGAGAACTGGGCTACGTCATTCTCACATGTATGAAACTGAGTTTACTTCAGACTTATGAAGGGAAGAAGTCACAAATCCTTGATGAAATGTTATTGTCAATATAGGAATTCTAACATTTTAAAGGACCACGGTCTAGCAAAAAGAGAGAAGCTGGGCTTGGCGTTGTGTGAATACTCTGGCACACATTAAACCCACCACAGCAACAACAACCAGTCAGGTCTATTTTTTCAACATCTATCCACCACTAGAGGTGGTCATAGCAAATAAAACCCTCTAGAGAAGGTCACCCTCAGTCACTCCTCTAGCCACCACACATGACAAAAAATTGCACACTTTTAAATCAAGCTTCCTACTTTTCCAACAAAAAATGATAATAAATGACAGTCAGTAACTTTCAGTGTGTGAGCTGCCTTTCTTCACATCTAACACTCAACATGGGAGGTTTAGGTTTTACGCAACAAAGATGTTCCCTTGAACAATCCAGCTTGGATTTCTCAGCCAATCTGTATTTTCTGCCAGCCTTTCAGGACAAAGCTACAGGAATGTAGTATTTTACTCACCCACTTAATTCAAGTAATTTCAGGGAATTATAGGTTACCCTTGTGCTTACATGTGTACACATATACTCCAAAGCATGCACACAAAATTTTCTGCATGCCGTGCAAGTAATGTAGAACATTTTCCAGAGCGCTTTTTCTACAGGAAAGTCTGTAGGTTTTATTTGGTCCAGTGCTATTCTTTTTGTCAAAATTCCAGGATATCTTTCCTGGGCACTCGCTCAGGGCAGCTGACTGACCTCCTGTATCACAGAGGCTATGAACGGAGCCTAGTCACTCATCGTTAACCTACACTATAGCTTCAGGTAAGGCATCTCATCTTGATTTGGCGATTCCAAATGATGGAGGCTTCATCATGTTACTTGTTGAACTGCTGCAGCACTTAAACTGTACCCTGTTTCAGAATGCACCCTGTTTCTTCTTTGGGGATACAGCATGTGTGTGTGCATTATTTGGGTAGTGTCTCATGAGAAGCAGTCTTTTCTAGCCTGTAATGGGTAGAATAGCAGAACAGCCATTCACCTTGTTGAAGTACACTCCTCTTTGGAGGAAGCACACCGTCAACTCTCCTTTAATGTCCTTTTTGCCACCCAAGAACAGCCTGTAAACCTCCACGAGCTTTCTGACTTTGCATCTCTGTGATGGAGACCATCATCACCAGTTTGTGGGAAACAGTCTCTAAAACATAGATGAATAAATAAACAATGACCACCACCTTTAAGACCATGGAGCATTTTATCCCTTCCTTTAACAAGAGATCATTAACCTTGTTTTAAAAATACACAGATTGGAGGGCAGTGGTTTGAGCATTACACTCCTTTTTGGCTTCAAACGCTGCCCTCGGTGCCAGCAGTTTACATCCTCTCAAAGATTTAAGCTCTTCCGGGATTACGGCAAGGTTTTTATAATGGTTGAAAGCAGGGGTCACTCCAAGTAATTACTGCAACTGCCCCCAAGGACAGAGGAAGCAGAAATGATTTATCACCATTGGCACCACAGCTCCCACAGGTGCCAGGGAATGAGAGAATGGAGCAGCGGCAGTGGGATACCTGCAGTATTTCTAGGTCTCTTGCTTTCAGCAGCTACAGTTCTCATTGTGGGGCTCCCTGGGAAGCACCAGGTTAGGAAAGGGACAAAGAAAAGGGGCACATGAAGAGAAGTGGTATTACAATACTCTATTTCCATCCCTGCTGTTGAAAGCCAAAATTTGGAAGTAGGGGAGAAGA